GGGGGGGGGCGGCCCTTCCTCACCGCCTGTGGCTTGGAGATGGTTTTACAAAGACACGGACACGCTCGCTCACTCATCTGCGCTCCGGATGCACACCTCTACTCAAAGGGCTGAATGCCTTCTCCAGTCAGCTCTTCTCCGGTCTCCACACGGACTTTGCTGTGTGACAGAGGGCAAGTCATTTACCTCCCCGAGACCTGTCTTCTCCACTGCTCGCAGGATACTCAAGATCAACTCCTCATACTCACGGGAACTGTGATGGTCACCGAGCGGGCAAGGATGTGTACACGCACACAGATACTCGCCACGGCTACCTAACTGCAAACCAGAGATCACTCACCCCCATCATAAGATCTTAAAATACAAGGTTCTTCTCCTTGCCTCTCCATATCAGAGTTCAGTTATCCTCTTCAAACATTTAAGCTCAAATGACCAGAATGAAATAAATGCAAATAAATAATCCCAGAGCTTAAAATTCGAGGCAACAAACCTTTCTTTAAATTAAATAAACACATCCCCCCTCAGCCACATCCTACCCAGAGAGAGTCACACTGGTGACTGATTATGCGCTTCTGTATAATTATTTCACCACCCCACCCCCACCCTTCTTCAAGATCACATGCCTGTCAGCAGCTCTGTTTCAGCTTTCTTGCAGCATGGTGTGTCAGTGTTTGAGTTCCCTACATTCCCAGCACACTCCTGCAAGGTGCTTCCCCTTGTAGGATTCAACTCAGGCTTAATTCCTAGGCCCCAGATCTACGGTCAGTGACTCATGCCCAGGCCAGGCTCCTGAGCTGTAGCATTTAGATTTGTTCACACTGACCTTGGCCTCCCTCTGCCAACTCCCTGGCTTCCTTTCCACCAAAAAGAGGTGATGGAGGTGTGGGGTGGACAGCTCAGAATTTTTTTTTCCCTTTTGGTGTGTGTAAAATCAAAAGAACTGTACAGAGCGTGGCTCGAAGTTTGCAGGGCAGAACCTGCAAAGAGTCTCCGAGACATACACAGTGACAAGGGGCCTACTCACAGCAGCTGTAGGGACACCAGCCCATCAAATAGTCCCTTGGCAAGCTCGGTGATCTTGTTCCCATAGAGCACCCTGCAAAAGAGCAGAGAAGAGAGCAGTCACAAAAAAAAAAAAAAAAAAAAGAGAGAGCAGTCACTGTGGAGGCCAGGGCCCTGGAACCCACTCATGTAGCGGCCATCGCCTCGGCCAACTCCAGCGGGTGGGTGGGTGGGGTTTCTCAGAGCATCTCCTTCCCTGGCTGGCCTCACCCCTCCTCCTTACTAGTGGGAGAGCAGGTGAGTGCCACCAGGGGCTGGAGAGGCAGGCTGTGTGGGAGGCAAGGAGAAACGGGCTCCATCCTGTTTCACTCCTGGGCAGCCCAGTTCAATAAATAATCCACAACAGGGAGCAGCAGTCCCTCTGTAGTGTCTCCCTGAGTGGCTAATATGACTCACACCTCAGCAATAAATAAGATGTGTAGGAAGCTGGCCGGCCCTGTGTCTTCTTGTCTTCAATGGGTATTGATCAGGCTGAGCCCAGCCTATAGAACGTTTCCTTTTAATATCCCATTGCATCCTAGCAATTCCTGAGCTGAGTTCTTTAATCATCCATTCAGACAGCGCTTTGGGTATCTGGGGTCCTATCCAGATGGCACAGGGACTGCTGAGTCAAGGACTGGCTCTCAGGAAACACTGGAGAGGAAGGAACTGTGACCTCGGAGCGATGGCCCCTGCACTCCAGCCCCTTCTTGACCTCCAGGAACCAAGAAACTCTGGATTCTTTTATCCCTTTCTCTTTCAGACCTACAGGGTCCCTCACACCATGTCTCCTATTCGTGGGCTGGCCTTCGGAAACTTGGTGGGGGGGCTTGGGGAAGAATTCTATGGTCAGCTCCTCCAGCCCAGTGCCCAGGGGGTTCAGTTGGCCCCCCACATAGGCGCCGAGGACCCTGCTGGCCTCCCTTGCTTTCATCCGTTTGGCACAGACTGCTTCTCTTGGGTCCAGCCTCCTCTGACATGGAAGAAACTGAGCTAAGGAGGGCTTTTTTCTTTTTGTTTTTTTCCTTTCAATTCCCTCTTGGGCCCTGAAGTACACTGCATGAATGCAATATTCAATCCCCACTCAGACTGCAAATCCAGGCTGTTACACGTCTTTGAGGAGACAAAATATTAGGGTGAGGAAATAGTAAATGGGAGCGATAAACCAAACCCCCTGTTTTCCAGACGCCACCAGGAAAAAGAGTGTCTCATTCAGCTGGTGGGTGTGTTTCATTAATGTTTCAACAAATTAATGAGTAAATAAAAGTCAGCATGATGGCTCAGGCTCACATTTGTAATTCATATTAATGTCGCACCACTCACTGTGCCAAACACCGTAGCGTCACTGTCTGCTTGTCTCGGCTGATGTCAGAGCTTTTGGTGTAGCAGCAGCTGGTGGGGTGGTGGGACCAGGGACTTGGGCAGGGGATGCTCACATGACCCATCATACCTCCATATGGGACAGCTCTAACCTACTGGGTCAAAACCACTCTCCAGCAGACTGAAGAGGGCTGTGGGTCTACCTTGGAGCCACCTGGGTGTAGACCCACCTGGCTTTGCCCTCAAATCTTTCCTTGACTGTCTTCTTCCCACCTTTCAGGTCTTGAGTGCACACAGCTCTTCCTTGGGAAGCTTCTCCTGAATATTTGAATGTTTTTCACCACCTGTCACCCTGTTTTTATTTCTTCATCGCTTCATGATGTCATGTTCTATTACTTATGTATTCATTTACTTAAACGTTTTTCTGTGCCTCTACCTCTCAGCTCCCTTGAACGTTGGCTCCATGCGTGTGGTGACATTATGTGGCTTGCTCATGGCTGGGTCCCTAGAGCTGAGAGCTGACAGGGTCTAGCACAGTATTTGTTGAAAGAATAAATGAATGAGTACGGGCAAGGCTTTCCTGCCTTTTAGCTTGGCCACTCCTGAGTTTGGGTTGGGTATGTTTGTGTTCCAAGCTCCATGAGACCAAGGGTCTTGTCCATCCAGTTCACTGCCACATTCTATGTGCCTAGTAGGTGTCTACTTGAATGGATGAATGCATAAATTAGGGAGGGGGCACTTCCCTTATGGCCCCAGTGTATTTCAGAACTGGCCAGTGGGATGCCAATGCCATGTCTGGCAACCAGATTTTGAATTTTTTTTTTTTCTTTCCCTGCAGGACCAGAAGCATCTCACAGTCCTCAGACTGTGCCCAAGTCCCAGCAGAGGGAAACCAGATAAGGGGAATGGGACGGTGGGGGCGGGGACAGGATCCTGGCAGCACACAGCCACTCCTCTGCTCCTCTGTGATCTTCAGCACAATAAGCAGGCATTAATCTCACAGACGATCCTGTCTTTGATAACCCAGCCAGATGTTCTATTCGATAAATGAAACTAATTTACTCTGCAAGCAGCAGGCAACAGCTGAGTCAAGAGGCTTCCCTGTCCTCAGCCCCCTCCCAGTGGGATGGGGCCAGGTGGGGGAAAATGTGTATCTTGTTACCTGCCCGCTCATAAATTAAGCAAACAGGTTACCGAGAGAAGCAAAGCACAGACAGCTTGCTCACCCCTACTCAGTGGGCGGGTCATCAAGTGACATAAATGATATCAGCTGATGATACCTCTCGAGTCTTAGTGTATATTTTTCACATTCTCTGGAGTGAAGAGGCAGCATCACATGGGGTTGAGAGTATGGGTTCTGGAGTCACACTGTGTGGGTTCAAATCCTGCCTCCCCCCGTTGTGGACGTCGGATAATTACACTTATTCGGCAAGCTTTATTTTTGTGCAATTATTGTGCGCCAGGTACTGTTCCAGGTGCCAGAGATTCAGCCAGGATCAAAACAGATAAAAGCTCCTGTCTGTGCGGAGCTCGGATCACCCCGATTCCTTCTACTGTAAAAGAGAGATGAGGATAAGAGTCTGTATTTTAGGTTGTTCTGAGGACTAAACCTGCAAGACTCCTGGCACACCCTAAGTGCTTTATAGGTACTGCCAATTATTTTAATCATGGTCACCACTGAAGGTGTATTAGGCGGGAAAGATAGAGCTCTCCCCATTTTGTCTGGGGGGGAAATAGACCCAAGTGGCGTCCCCTGGGCCACGTGGTGAGTCACTGACAGAATCAGGACAAAGCTCCATGCCTTCCTGCCCCTGTGGGTCTCTGAGTCTCTGTGGGTGAGGCTGTGGTTCCACCCAGCAGGCTGCCCTAGGGTTGTGAAATCCAAGAGAAGGCCTTACAGGAGGGGGTGGATGCTTACTCAAGAAAAGCTTGAAAATCAGGGGAAGAAAATTAGCTTCTCCCTTGACGAGGTCACATAGATGGGCGAAATGGGCACATTGGTAATAAACATATATTACCGTTCCGTCCCTCCAGGTCCCTAGAGAGCACTGCTGAGGCACGTGGGTGGGAGGGGAAATGTGGGTAGAGCAGAAGATGCATTTGAATTAGAAGCCAATAACTGGGAAGGCTGCTGGGCACTTAATCAATAAAAATAATGCATTTGGGTTGTAGAAATATTCCCCAAGATCAATTTCCCCTGAAGAAATATTTGTTTCTTTTACCAGGTTGCCACAAGTGTGTAAGGGAACATAAAGCCTTGATAAACACCTCCTGAAAAATATGGACACATCCCTCTCCTATTGCCAACTCCGCCCCCCCCCTCCCGCCCCACGCGACTCTGCTCCCCACTTACAGTGATGTGAGTGATTTCAGACCCTGGAAGGCATCTGGAGCAATGTCCGATATCTGATTCTTGCTGATGTCTCTAAAAAACATTGATGGGAGAGCCTGAGAACACAGCTCCAAGGTGTGATACGGTCATTCCTAGGTGTGAATCGAGCACTTCAGATATTTAAAGCAGTGAGAATTAATCAGTTTATTTATTCACAGTACAAGAGAAAGGGCTTAAAGACCATTCAGTTCAACTGTCTCTTGATGAAATATACTACATTTGTTTCACTCTTCTTGGCTTTCAAAGAATGCTCACCCACAGCATCTTGACTTTGACATATGGCTTTGCACATGTGAGCCCTCCCTTCATAGGGAAGGCCGCACCCAGGCACATTGGGGCCTTGTTGTGCGTTACCTAGCAATTATAGCATCAACAAAGCAGAAGCTGGCCTCACCCAAACACAGGCCAGGGTTCGGGCATGCATTATCTTCTTGTCGCATGCCTCAGCCAATGCTGATTTTCTTCCCCATATTGTCCTGAGTCATTTCACCTCCCAGTGACCTTTCCTTACTGACCTGAAAAGAGGTTTTGAGCAGTGACTAAAGTCTGGTTCGGTGCGTCCTCCAGGTCATGTGATGCAAACACATCATGAGATCCTCATGGGATGGCTCTGAGATGTGGATTTGTCACTGGTAGTGTTCCTCAGACGGGCGTGAGCCCGCGGCGGCGGGGCGGGGGGGCGGTGATGCCCAGGGCTGGGGCGTCCGGTGGACGAGCGGGAGGCTACGTGACAGAAGGCAGCCACCCTGGCTGCGCCCGCCGGTGCAGAGGAATCACCCTGACCTGGCTCCTCCTCAGGGCCCAGAGGCTGCCCCTTTCCTGCATCCCAGTTACTTCCAGCCTCTAGTTCTTGCTAATGGCACTTCACTGAGGCGGAAGACTTTCTCTGAGTCCTTAGCTCGAGGGCGGCCTCTGGGCTCCTATCATTGGAAGGTGAGTTGCCCCAGTTTCCAGAGACAGCGCACCTCTCCAGTTCTTTTTTTTTTAACAAAAGACATCAATGGGTCTTTGCTTTTGTGTAGGAGAGAGCGAGCTGGGGTCTTGGAGGGTCAACAAGGAGGAGCCGAGGGACTATGGAGAAGAAAGCACATCTAAGCTGATTCTTAAGCAACTGCCTCCGGCGAGGCCAAACCCCCAGCCCCCAGCCTCTGAAGCGCACTCCCTGGGTCTGTTTCTCCCCTCCTTCTAATAGCCTTCAAAGGGCTGCATGGCCACCTTTCCTAGGCCTCTGCTCCCTCCGTCCCTGGTTCCAAAGCCAGGAAGTTGAAAGATATTTCACAGGTTAAGGCTTCTTAGGCACAGCTGTTGAGCTTATCCCTTTAGCTGGCAAGATCGCCTCTCACAAATCCACAGATTGTGCTCACAAACTCGTCAGTTTACACCAGGCTTTTCTCCAGCGCTCCACTTCTGTATAAGGGTCTTACCAAGCAAATGCCCTGGATTATCCTAATCTTGCTCTCCCTCCGCCTGCCTGCCTCACTAGGCATGTCAGGCCAGCACGCTGGCTCTGTGCTCAGATCAGACCGCTGAGCGAGCCTGGGTTTTTGTTTTGTTTTGGGGGTTCTGTTTTGTTTTCCTGATCACGGGATGTCTCTTCAAGCTATTTAGATCTCTAGCGTGCAGGAAGAAGTTCTGGAACTTGGGGATAGCAGGGGGAGCCTTCTGCTTTAGCCTCGTCAGGGCAAAGTGGTGGTCAGGCCACAGCTAGCCTTTCAGACGCACTCTTCTCTGTACACGGGAGGGATGTCTTGTGGTCTTGAAAATGATGGGGAGTAGAAGTGGACAAGTGATAGTTTAGCTGGGGATTGCCCCTGGTGGTCACTTCATCTTAGTTCTTAATTCTGCAGGAAGCAAATGGCAGCCTGAAAAGGTGAAGGACCTAGAGCCACAGGTGACTTGATGCAGCTATGTGTTTGGCATCTCAGGTCTTCCCTCACTTCACAATGACGGATGCACGGGGCAGCGGCACCGCACAGAAGGCAGGCTGGGGAAGGCATCTCCTGCTCCCTGACCTCTTTGCCTGAGCCCTCCCGATCCACAGCAGGTGGCCCTGAGCTGACTCCAGGTTCTGGGTCACTCCTGCTCAGTGGTTCTCAAACATCACTAGGGTGTTTACTAAAGCGCACCCCCGGGGAGTCTGCTTTCACGAGCAGGGGGCAGGGGGCTAGAAACCTGCATGTACAGCCCATCTCCAGTGATTCCTGTGCACGTGGTCGCGGGGCCATCCTTTAGGCCACAGTGTTTTCCCATCAGGTCGGTCTTAGACATACCCCAGTGCCCCGGGGCTTACAAACTGGATGGCCGAGAGGCAGTGGACTTTCCAGACGGTTCAGAGCCAAGGTGACAGATACCTGTGGAATCCTACTCTATGTAAGAGTGCAGAAGCGGAAGAACATGCCTTTCTGGCCAAGTCGCACAGCTGTGGCCCCCATTTGCCTGCGCCGTCAGTTAACCGGCCCCGTAAGACCAGGGGCTTCTCTCTAGTGCCTATTGTGCTCCTCATAAATGGCTTCTCTACCTTGATACTAGTTTTTACCTGGAAGTATTTTTTATACTAAGCCGGCCACGAGAAATGGGGACAAAGTCATTCATTCCAGAAGAATCCTTTGTTGTTGCTGTTTTTGTTATTAGAGAGAAGAGGAGGGTGTCGTTCATACATAGTTTCCCCATACATAGTTGAGGGGAAACTTCTTTCTGTTAGAGAGACTGGCCACATACACCTAGGAGGAATTCACACTTAGGGTTTTAAAATCCATTCTCACCAGGGGCCCTACTTCTCCCAAGCCATCATACTTCAGTCTTGGTTTGTGAAGTTCTGTTAATCGGAAAAATTTTTAAGTGGTCTCTCTTCCCTACCGCCATCTCCTTGGGGAAAAAAAGGGCATCATAATAAATATCAGTAGCATCAGAAGTGATCAAAAATTAAATTCCCTTCGCAGGTCATGACTGAGAAGGTCTTATGAATTTTGAATTGCACAGATCATGGCAACTCCAATGGGATGAAGAAAAGGACAGTAAAACATAGCCAAGCTCTAAATTACCTGGACTTCACAAAAAATTAGAGCAGTAACTTAAATCATGCAAGAGATATAGGTTGGGGCAGTGACTGAACTTGTCATTTTTCACTGAAATTACTATCTGGCTGCATAATCAAGCTAGACTTTAAAAATGAATTTGGGGGGGGTATGGAGTGAGCTGGGGAAGCAGGGAGACCAGGAGATTAATGGCCCAAGGTTTTAAATATTAAGGCCTATATTTATACAGCTCCTCCAGCAAGGATGCTGCCAAGGGGAGAGAAAAAAGTACGTGCTCAGGGCTGGCTCATTATGTTGGTTTCTACTTCTGGAATTGTACCAGGAGAAAATCTTGTTTGGTTTGGATTTCCAGGAAGATGGGAAGTTGCCTTCCCAAGATCCGAGGGTAAAGCCTACCAACGCCACTGTTTCTTGGGGATGTTTATTTTTAACATCAAAGGAGTCAGCAGACACTTAACCTCTTTAATGGAGGCCCTCCTACCCAAGGGAAACCGATGAATCAGCCTTCAGCAGAAGGGCGCAAGATCGAGTCGGTGCATGTTTCTACCTGCTCTCTCTTCCTCTGTGGGGGCCAGAGAGGGTAAATAACTGGGATGAAAACAGCATTTTGATTACTGGACCATGATAAATGACTTCTCAGCCCAGAAAAGGGAAAGGTGTCTCCTTCCCCTATTCTTAATATCTATGCTGGCAATGGCTGGGCCATTTCTGAATCCTACTAGCCTCCCTTGCGAGCGCCCTGGTCTGAGTGACTCACAGAGCGGGGTTCAGGGCAGTCATGGGTTGGGGAAGGGTGGTGATGATGTTGCCCCCATGGCGGGGATAAGGGCCATGATGCATGATGCTGTCAGTGGTGCCGTGGTAGGGAAGGAACAGCAGTGTTGGTGTCCCCCAGGTATTGATAGGATACAGTGGTCAGTGATCCTGGATGCAGTGGTAATGGGGATGGTGGGGATAATCACAGGCAAGACATATGTGGCTGGAGGATAAGGAAGGGCCCAAGGCTTCTTATCTCACTTAGAAAGAATAGAAAGTCCTTACCCATGGTCTAAAGGGTCCACAGGATCTGGCGCTACGTATCTACTTCTCCAACACAATCCCCACCACTCTCTCCCTCACCCTCCCGTCCTCCTTGCTGCTCTGCAAACCATCCACGTACGCTCCCCAGGGCTCGTCACTTGCTCTCTCCTGAGAGCTCCTTATTCCCACCCTTCATTTGGGTCACCTGCACAGAGAGGCTCCTGTGGGCCCTTCCTTTGTTTTACTTTCTAGTACTTACCAATTTCTGGTACTTGTTTCTTTTCTGCGTTCTCCCACTCAAGTATGTAAGCTCCACAGGAGCAAACTTTGTTTTAGTGCACACTCCGTCCAGAGACCCTGCAGTTCCTGCACGTGGTAGACGCTCTCTCTTTGTTAGATGTGTGTGTGCATGGCCGTAGGCATGTTGGTTAGGGTGCTGTAGACGGATACAAGGCCACTGTCCCAGCTTTATTGACACTCCTATTTCAGGTCCACATCATGAAAGCGAGGACAGTCAAAATGGTGGTACAGGTTTTTTTAGCCAACTCAGCTCTACCTCTGACTCAGATAATTTCACTTTGCTGTAGTTGGAGAGACCCCTAGCTCTGAGGTGTCTAAATCCATATACCTCACCATCTGAAAGCAACACTCCTGACCCACACCTCCCAATCTTAGAGAGCATTCCAGGTCCAACACTAAACTCTCCAGGAAGGATGCGAGGCAGGCAGTCATCTGGGCAGGTTGCCCACGACACAGGACACCCATTACCCCCCGCATAAAAACATCAGCCTCATCCCTTCCCTGGGGAAACTCACATTCGCTTCAGTTTCTTGTACTGGGTGAAGGCTCCAGCAGGGATGGATTTGATGGAGTTCTGTTCCAGGCGTCTGGGAAACAGAGCAGAGAAGAGTCAGTTAACCATCCACCTGTCAAGAGGTGGTGGCTGAGGGCCTTGAAGACAGGATGGTCCCTCTTATCACATGGCACCCCTATTGGTTATAGACACCAGGCAAACACTGTGTGAAAGCTAGAGACCCATGTTCTAGTGGAAGGAGCACCCATCCCAGGATCTAATGGCCATCGGAAAAATGAAAGAAGATGACATCTCCTTGAGGATTCTGGCTCTTGCTTATCATAAGCCATCTTTGAAGGCAGAGGTCTTCTTCAAAAAATCTGTAGCACCAGAGTGCTGAAAAAGTCAAAGGGATAAAGAGAAGAAGAGATGGCCTGTGGGCCAGTGATACCTGCCTGCCAGAGAAGCATGTCACCTTTCAGTAAACACTCAACCCCTCCCTGCCACAGGGGTACCGAACAGGCAGGAATGACAATGGCTGACTTCATTACTGGTTTTTTTTATTAAGGTATAACTGACTTAGTTTCAGGAGTACAACATACAATAAACAACAACATTTGATATTTGTTTCTGGGTTTTTCAATGGGCTTCTAAAGTGCTGGAAAAATGGCCTTCAAATCTTTAGGCTCCCAGCCTGACACCCATCAAACTGGCTTCCTGAAATCCCAAGGCCCCTAGGGGCCCCAGTCGGACCACCCCCCGGGGGCTGCTGCTAGAACCCCTGGCTTTACCACCTTATGGACTTCCCTGAAGTGCTTCCTCTCCTGGGACTGCAGAATGACAAGAAATGCTACAGGCCCAGGGCCCAGAACTTCCTTGAAGAGAAGGGGCCATGGGGAGTGAGCAAGCATCTCAATGCTTTATTCTCTCGCCTCTCAGATGACTTCCTGTCAAGAACAGGTGTGGAGGGCCACAGGCCTGAATGGGAGGCAGGACCCTCTGTTAGAGGTGATGAGTGAATGCCCTGGCCTTGTCCAAGGACTCAGCCTCTCCTTCTTGCCCATCTCCCTTTTCTCCAGGGTGTGGATCTTTTCATCACCTCCTCATTTGACATGGATGTTCCCCATACCCCCAGCTGGGAAGACACACAAAAAGGTGTGTGCAGGGAGGGATGGGGGGAGCAGAAGGGACAGACGGGCGGAAGCGGCTCCCTTGGAGGCTACATCTAGTGGATGCATTTCTGGCGGTGATGAACCCATTCATCTTGAAGAGTAATCCCTGCTGCAGAGTCAGGGAGACAGTCATATTAATTTGTGCCTCTGCAATCTCATCTTCATTGGGGGAAGAGAGTATTTGTTACTGGAACCGCTAATAGAGCAGTTTGCCAGCAATTTTCCCATTTCAAACAACATCTCAGCTGCTAATGTGCAATGGTTTGTCAGGCCTACCCATAACACAGACAAATCACTCTCCAGGCCAAAGGAAGGGTGGGCGGGTGGGTGGAGAAAAAGAGGAAGGGCGGGTGGGAGGAGAAAGGGAGCATCAGGACAGATCATTCTTGGCTGCTGGATGAAGAGAGTCTACAAAGGAGACTGCCACGCTCTATTAAGAAAGCCTTTGTGGCCTGCCGGAGGGGGTGGGGAGCATGCTCTGTGGGCACACGGGCACAGGCTGGCTGAACGGAGCCGGGCTGGTTCATGGGAGGGCACAAGAGCAAGCCACCAGGTCTTAGACTCTGTGAGCTACCGGATCCAGCCACCCACGGAGGCAGCGGACTCGGGGCAGGCTGCCTTGACTGAGATGTTCCAAGGACATTCTTGTTTTCCAGCTGAGCAGAGTTCAGTAGGGATTTCTCAGCCAAGGCAGTGGCTCTATGGGTCTCTGGGGCTGCCAGTCAGGTGGAAAATGCTCTCCAGGAATCCTGTGATTCACCTGCCACTTTGGCAAGGGATTGTGGCTGGATGATGCCTCTGGGGAGAGCCACTGTCTGTAATGATGGCAACGCCCTCAGTTTTTGCAAGAGGATCCACCGCTCCCAGCTGCAGGCCAAGAGCCCATGCGAGTCAGGTCAGCACTGCGTGGGAGGTCAGCCGGCTATGTGTGCGATTCATACTCAATTAACCTCCACTGTAGTGACGGGTGTAAGAGCCGAGGGAGGGATGAACCAGCGAGCAGTACGTGGTACCTGTCCCCAAGGAGTTTAATAATCTGGGGACAGCAACAGCCCAAGACGGTCCATCACAGAACCAAATTCTATGGCTCACATAACAAACAGGAAGAGCTATCATTTATGAGGCCAAGTTGATTTATGTCTGTTATCTCTTTTAATCCTTACATTTATGAAGCAAGCTGTGTTGGCCTCATTTTGTGGATGCTGAAAATAAAACCTAGAGGGACCAAATAGCCTGTCCAGAGTGACAGAGCAAGTAATTGGCAGAACTGACATCTGTTTGTACCCATCGGACATACTGCCTGCCTCTCTTTCTGAAAACAGAGAAACTGAGGCCTAGAGACTAAAGTGACTCCCCCAAAGTCACAGAAAGGTTCGGGAGGTTAAGACCCCAGGCAGCCTCTGCAGAAGTCGGTATTTTGTAAAAAGGCTGAAGGAGTTGAGGGAGACGCTGTACAGATGCGAATATATATAGATATGCAAATAGAGTGCAAAGGTGTGGTTTTGAACAAAGAACTCCAATCTCTGCAGGGACGGCTCTGTGCGTCCCGTACTCGTCAGACGCACACACTCCAGGGATGGTATTTGTCTCTGCAGCCTCTCTGCTGCTTATGCTGCTGTGGGTCCTGGCTGGGCACCGAACCCCTTACGGAGTGCCAAGGCCATGGCAAGTGCCACGATGTGGGTTAACCTTGCCCCAAGGGGCATCAGAGTTTGTCTGGGGGGTGTAGTTGTGAATAGTCAGTGTTCTTCAAATGCAAAGTAAAGGTGAGGGTAGGGATAATGACAATAGTAAGAGCTAATAGCTATCAGGTGCTTGTAAGTCGGGCATTAGGCTAAGAGTTTTACCTGGTTTATCTTAATATTTACACCTCTCTGAGGCAAGTCCTATTCATTATTACCATCTCCACTTTAAACGTGAGAAAATGGAGACTCAGAGATGTTAAGTCACTTGTCCAGATTCACATAGCCAGGAAGAGCTACAGCTGGGATGAAACTCAAGTTCGTCCCATTCAAAAACCTCAACTCTCCGTCACCGAGCTTTGCCAAATCCCATTTGGAGCGGAGGCATCTCCATTTTTAGTCATTGCCAGCTCATCCTCAGGGAAACGGCCCCTTTGTCAAGGGAGTAAGCCCACAGTGAGTGTGCACACACGAAGTTTCTATGCAGCAGATAGCCCCTGGTGGGTTTTATACAGCCTGGAACAAGCATGCAAAGATCCATATTCCCAGTGACAAAAGGTGTGAAGGATGAGAAGAAGCAGTAGCACCAGCAAAAACTGTCACATTTAGAGAGGTGTCTGAAGCCAACAGCTGTTTTAGGTCTCTCTTAAATGGCACATGGGTCTTTCTTTGTCTGGCAAACATTCTTCAGGCTGCAAACTGATTTAATAGAACTAGCATAAAAACAAACATACAAATCAAACATCTGAACATCTTCCGGCACCAGTAAACACAATGGGAACATCTGATGGGGATTTCAGCCATTTGCGCTCTGTATTGATTTGCCCTAGTTTCTCGGTGCTTCCTTAATGATCTGTCATTTGCAAACATGCGACTGAACACAATATATTTCTAGCAGTGCATAAGTCAACATGATGCCAGAGAGACTGGCAGGGGCACGGCAGCGCAACGGCAAGGCTACGAGTCACCTGATAGAGCGGTTCTGGAGCTGGGTTCGAGTATTGGTGGCAGAAATGGCTGAGGTGGCAAGAAGGACAAACATCTACCATTTATTGAGGGCCGTTTATATGTTAGACACTGGGCTCTTTGCACGCTGGCTTTTAGTCGTTCAACAATCCTACAAAGCAAGTATTATTATTAGTATAATAACAACAAAGATGAGGGCTGCGGGCATGTGACATGAGTCATTTGTGACCTGCTCTGCACAATACCTGGCATTTGCCGACAGAAAACAGAGGTGCAGGCACGGAGCCAGATTCGCTCTTCTGATTATATGCATGTGCCCAGATGCCTCTCCCAGAGAATTGTTTTTTTTATCATCTTAGGAAAAAAATGAAAGAAAAATAGTATGGGAACTTGAGACTAAACCATTCTATCATGTTGCACGTGTGACCCCGTGCATAGGTTTTTCTTTTTAGGTTCCATTCAGTGTCTTCCAAACATTGTGCTAATTTTCTGCACAATTGTGCTACTTAATCTTCATAGAAAATCTCTAGTAGGGCTGATGAGCCCCATTTTGCAAAGGGGGGAGCGGACTGAAGCAGGAGATGTTAAGAAAGGTGCCCTAGGTAAGAGGCAAAACTGGGAATTCAACCCTGGACTACTTATCTCAAGGCTCTGTTCTTAATTATTCTGCGCTGCATCCGCTTCCCTTTTATTCCACTGCCCCATCCCACCCCATCTCCCCACCTTCCATGTGACAGTCCCTCAGAAACCTGGTGCTCTCAGAACATTGAAGAATCCTGGATGGTGATGGCTTCCAGAACCCTCCAGTCCTTTTGTTCTGTTGTCTGCTTTTTTTTCCTTTTCCTTTCCCATCCTCTCTTTTTAAAATCCCCTGGTGACCAGTATAATGGGAGAATATGTGTTTTTGTTAAGCAGATAAGCCACTATTTATCTCCTCACCCCAGACAATGGGATTGAGGTGAAATGATGGCTACCTTTCCCCCAGATGCTTTCACTTATGACTCGACAGGAAGCCCATCCGCGGCCTTTCTCCATCAACTAAATTGAGCTGCTAGAGCAGAGGGCATGAGACACACTGGATGGCGCTGTGTGTGTGTATGTATGGGTGCGGGGGACAGAGCAAACTGGAAGAAGATGGAACAGAGATTAAGATGAAGCTCTAGCTACAGATGGTCCTCTTGAGCCTTGAGGACTCTGGAGGGAAGACAGAAGACCACAGAAGAGAGGAAGGTGTGAGCCTCTGGCTCTTCCCAGAATCTATCCCTGGTAGAGGC